CATTGTATTTTTGTTAATATACATTGTTATTGACTTGTCTTGCATGATTATTACTTTATTAGTCTCTTTTTTTCCACCAAACTCTTAATTCGCCAATGTTAACCTACCTCTCTAGTTCAATAATTCGACTGCGTGAAGTTATTGTTGATAAAAATAATTGACAACCATCTATATTACAGCTCATGCTTCTTACTTATCCTTAGAGGAATCGATGAGGCTAATATTTTACTAGTAAAAAGTAGCTATAAATATTGGATCTTGTTGAACTTACAAAATAATTTTATGTATATATTATTTTAAATATAAAATATTTTAGTTACAGAATTTGAATTGATTTTTTAAATAAAGTATATATTATTCACAGAAAAATATAAAACAAACTACTAAAATTTGATGTGATAGAATTTGAGTGGACAATTTATTTAAGAACTATTATCCATGACATGTCTATTAGTGTACATTTAAAAAAAAAAATTACTAAATATATGAAATGAAAATTATAATTCTGACTTTTTATTACCCTAACTACAATCATATTTTTTATATAATTGATTACCGAAAACAATCTTATACACTAAATTTAAATAGTAGAACTCATACGTGAAACTTGTTTAAGTAAATTCATTCTTTTTTGTCGGCTTAAAAAATAGTTTTCTTTGTAAATATTAATCTAACAAAGTTTTAGTCAAAATGATTTTCGTACGTTGTCGTTAAATTGACAAAAGAGAAGATAATAAATTGAACTATTTAGCAACAAAAATAGAAATCCCTTTTTTTGCGTTTATATTCTCCCCGTCAATTTCGTAGCGAATATCACAATTTTTCTTCGGGGTTTGAAGAATATTTACTTACACAGCAAAAACCAAAAAACAAAAAAAAACGATAGAGAGAGAAGGAAGGAAAAGTTTCTTCTCTTTGGTCTCTGTGAAATCCAAAATCGAATCATAAATCTCTCTCTTCTTTCAACGAATTTCATGTTTCTGTTTCCTCTCTCTTGATTCTACCATTTTCACTATTCACATTTTTTCCCTCTCCAGATTGATAAATTGTTAAAAAGTTTTTGGTTTACGAGAAGAAAAGAGGCTCTTTTGAAGGGTCTTGGGATCTATCAGATTGTCTTGAAAACAATGCTTATGGGTTTTAACAGGTTTGTATTTTTGTTTCTTTCTCTTTTGCTCATTTTGGTAAATCTTAATTCCATAAAGTTTGTAGCTTTTTATGCTAACGATCCATTGTCTTTATTAAATTTTACTTCTTTTCACTTGATTTCCTTCTCTCTCTCTCTCTGGTTCTTTGTTTTTTTACCTTCACTTCAATTGGTTTGTGGCTACTTCTTTGATGATAGTAGCTTCTTAATTTAATGAACTTTGTCGTGTAATCTAAGTTATATGATCTCTTAGAGCTTGAGTTTACCAAATGGTACAAGTCATATGATCTTTCTTTCTTATTTAATCTTGTCAAATTGTATGTTAGTCTTTTAAGGATTGTTTGAGCATATTATCCATTACTAGAGCTTAAGTTAGGTAAAAGAACAAAACATTAACAGTTATCTAGCGAGGACCAATTCAAATCTGCTCTTCTTCATTGTTTTTACTAAGGAATTCTATATTTTCATTTTTCTGTAATATTGGTTTTAAGATGAAACTAACTTAAGTAGTCTCTTTTGTCTTTGGTATTGGCTTGTTAGGTTGATTGATCGTACCACTATGGATGTGGATCCTCTCTGATCCAAGACATTTTGATGGATCCCCAAGCTTTTATTCGCCTTTCAGTAGGCTCTCTTGCCTTAAGAATTCCCAAGTTTCTCTTGAACTCTTCTTCAAAATCCGATGAGAAGAAGAACGTTTCTTCCCAATGCTCTTGCGAAATTAAACTCCGAGGCTTTCCTGTTCAGACAACGTCTATCCCTTTGATGCCATCCCTAGATGCAGCTCCTGACCACCACAGCATTTCCACAAGCTTTTATCTTGAAGAATCTGATTTAAGAGCTCTCCTTGCCCCTGGATGCTTCTATAATCCTCATGCTCACTTGGAAATTTCTGTTTTTACGGGTAAAAAGAGTTCGCACTGCGGGGTTGGTGCTAAAAGACAGCTGATTGGGATATTTAAGCTGGAGGTAGGTCCTGAATGGGGAGAAGGAAAACCAATGATTCTCTTCAATGGCTGGATCGGTATTGGAAAGAACAAGCGGGATGGTGGTGCAGAGCTTCATTTGAGAGTGAAGCTCGATCCTGATCCTCGATATGTGTTCCAGTTTGAGGATGTTACTACTTTGAGCCCTCAGATAGTTCAGCTCCGTGGCTCGGTCAAGCAACCTATCTTCAGTTGCAAATTTAGTCGAGACAGGTGACATTTGATTTCTCCATAGTTGCACAAGTCTGTATCTTTGTGCTCTCTACTTAGTTACCGACTGGCTTTTGATTCTTCAGGGTGTCACAGGTGGATCCGTTGAACGGATACTGGTCAAGTTCAGGCGATGGAACCGAGCTTGAGAGTGAGAGACGTGAGAGAAAAGGCTGGAAGGTGAAGATACATGATCTCTCTGGCTCTGCGGTTGCTGCTGCTTTCATAACAACTCCTTTTGTCCCATCCACTGGCTGTGATTGGGTCGCCAAGTCTAACCCTGGTGCTTGGCTTGTGGTCCGGCCTGACCCGTGTCGACCCAACAGCTGGCAGCCATGGGGAAAGCTCGAAGCCTGGCGGGAACGCGGGATCAGAGACTCCGTGTGTTGCAGATTCCATCTACTATCCAACGGGCAAGAAGTTGGAGATGTTTTGATGTCTGAAATTCTCATCAGCGCTGAGAAAGGCGGGGAATTTTTAATCGACACGGATAAACAGATGCTAACGGTTGCAGCTACCCCAATTCCAAGCCCGCAGAGTAGCGGAGACTACTCCGGATTGGGAGCATGCGTCTCTGGAGGCGGGTTTGTAATGAGCTCAAGAGTGCAAGGGGAAGGGAGAAGCAGCAAGCCCGTGGTGCAATTGGCTATGCGGCATGTAACGTGTGTGGAAGATGCAGCCATTTTCATGGCGCTTGCTGCCGCTGTTGATCTTAGCATTCTGGCTTGTAAACCTTTCAGGAGGATGAGCCGGAGAAGGTTCCGGCATTACTCTTGGTGATAAAAGGAACTCTCTTGTGGTTTTTTCTGTGTACAGTTTTTGAATTGGACCCCAACTTATTGTCTTAGGAAGAAACTGGCTTTAGATTAAGAATTCAAACACTTAAGATTTTTTTCAGAACTCAGACCAACTTCATATCCGGTAGAAGAGATCAATCAAGTAATAAATAATAGATCAAAGTTTTTGAAGCATCTAAAACAGTCAACATAAATGAAGATTCTAGTCTC